TGCACTTGCTCGTATTAAAAGTAAGTTCAAACCGACATTAGCAGTGTCGTAATGTAGTATATAGGTCAAGTAATGACTACGCAGCATACGGGCGGTCGTTTCGCTTCCATCCCACCTGCGATTATGGGGTACTGAGTACACGACTGTATGCGAGGAAAAGCCTCCTCCCAGATAAGCTTGGGACCTGCACGTGCACGAGTCTCTTTGCATCATACTTGGGTCAATTAATTTCAAATGTACAACTTGACTGTCATTAGAATCACTTTGCTTCAAAATGTAGTTAAATTTAGTCAGTGAAGCAAGCAACTGAAAAAGAGGTCCACAAATATGAGTGAAAATAGAAATAAATAACTTGCAAGAGTGTCGTATACACACGCCTCTTTGCTGCGTGATGACATCTCAGTCATTTTACCACCCAATTGTATTCTATGTTTTTCAGAGGTCCCGTAACCCGGCGTGACTCAGCTGAAACGTGTAGCGTTGTCTAATGCTTTTATGCCATTTTACCGCTTAAAGTTTCTGTCTAGCTTTGCTTCGTCACGCGCTGACGGCACTCGGTGTGGTAAAGAATGTCTCCCTCCTAAGACAGAGAGCCGTCGGATATACCCTAAAACATGCTTGACCACAGCGCCGTTTATTGCACTAGGCACAGACAAAGGCTGTAATGAGGTACTGTTTCACGGTATTTTAAATACTTCCTTCAAGAGGAAAAAAAAAAGCCTATGAATTGAAGTTTTGATGGCGTCAGACCGATCTGAATGACGTGGTCGAATGTGCATCGCAGTGAAGCAAGCAACCAACAAATGTGCCTACAAAAACGAGTGAAAATTAAAACATACTTGATCACAATACTATCATCTCCTTACAAACAAAATAAGGAAAACAAAAAAAGACTCAAACTTGGCAGAGTAACAGTGCGCTTTGAATGAGGCGGTCCAAGTTGTATTGCAGTGAAGCAAGCAACTGAGAAATTGCTCCCCGAAAAATATTTAGAAGACAGGTTTTAAAACACGTGCTTCATCTCCCTTGGCAGAGAATAAGGTTGTATATATTTTTAATGTCATCATGACGTCCCAAACACAAAGAAGCTAGTAGGGAGAGGAAATCGTTTACTTATCTGACTAGCTTTTTGCAGGAAACTCATAAAAAGAGAGTAAAGAAGACACGTCCCCAAGCTCGGCTGCTTCGGTTTGTTTCGTAGAGTTTCCTTGGCACAAACGCGATCCTCGAATCACGACCGAATTCGCCCCCATTTTGCTGAAACTGTTGGCCCGCAAAACGGCGGAGAAGTCGACGTCATTACACTGGTTTACACAAAGGACTATTACACGGCCTCGGCGAGGAAAGCACTCGAGGCACGGAAGTTTCAACTGTTTCCGGCGACATAGACACGATCATGTCCTACGGCCGATTCTCAGAGAGCGGTACTCACCGATTTCGGTATGTTCCCTACCTTTGACGCAGCCTTGGTCCTTGGAAGTAGCGTTGCAAGTGACGACTGTGATTTGATATTAAAAAAAAAATTGCTTGGATGGGTCTCAGTAGCGCTCTCCTCTGTCAGAATTCTCTTCTACCACATACTTTAGCAATTAGAGGAGCCGTCGAACTTCATTAGGGAAGGAAATACTGGGGCTCTACGTCCAAAAGTAACAAAGACTATCAGCGACGCCCTAAAGAGTCTTCGCCGAAGAGACCACCCGAGATTCGAACCATTGAGTTTGCGTTCCTGAGGTAGAAACCAAACCTCAACGCCAAGGAGGCGTTGGGGTCTTGCACTGAGTGGTGCCACTTCTCTTGTAATTTAAAATGACTCGAACTGACCGCCTCATTGACTGTAATAATTATACATAATATATAGCGGAAAAGACGAGACTTGTAGAAGCGGGGAGCTGGCGCCTGTCTAAGTATGCAGTTAAAACGTCCGCGACTTGGAAAATGTGAAACAGGAACGGGACACGAGGTTAGAGTTGCAAATAGCAACCGCAGTACATAAAAAAGGGGAAAGAAAAAGAGTTAGTTTGGGTTGTCATCCACAATTGGAACATTGCACGACGAGCTCGAATGATGTCGCCTTAACCTTACACTGCGTTAGGCGGCATCATTCAAGGTCGTGGGGCAACAGTAAATTATGAATGACAGCCCAAATCGACTCGTCTTTTTTTTATCCCGAGCGCGGAACGGGCAGCCATTGTCCTCGGCGATAACCATTCGAAAACCTAAGAACATTTGTCTAACACCTGGAAGCCGATCGCGTTTAATGCAAGCACGGTAAGAAATCCCAAATCGAGCGTGTTTGACTTGTGTTTGGCGCTTGGGGACGTTAGATCAGCAGTTCGCCTGCATGCTAACCGTCCTCCTCTTGGCTAACGGGTGTCCAAAACACTACCGTCGGCAGTGTAATGTAGGAAATACTTTTTTTTTCTTCTTCTTCATATATTGAGTTTGCGACATCTACCGAATACCCCTGTTTCACGGACAATTGACATTTGGCGAAGCATCATTTGAAAAAGTCCGTGCGGCAGGGGTATCGGGGATCCCGGATATTTCCTCCAGTATTTTTTTACGTTTCAGCGATATGTTTCTGGGTTTTTTTTTTTTTTCGTTTCATTGTAAAGAAACGGTGGAGGTGGTAAAAGCGTGAAAGCGGAACTATGTTCGTGCAATAACGTTACACACACACATCTCCTCTGTAATAAATTGAGGAAAATGGTATCCTGATCGTTATTGGCGGCAACAGAACCAGGAAGGTGAGGGGGCAAAGAAAGCTACAGGAGATTAAAGTGAACTTTTAAAACAAAGCTGCATTTTCATGGGCCCTTTCTAACAATGTTTGCTTCAGCATTTTTTTTTTGTTTTTTTTTTTTTCTTTTTTAGGAGGAGGAACGCTTGATGTGAAGTGCGCACAAACTGGGGACCTTCCCCGAGAACAACTTTGGTGGATTATCCGTGACCGGACGTGGGGACACCGTGGCTAATCTTAATCCTCAGCGCGCCCTCCGTTCCAAGGAGACGAGGTATGGGGTCAAGGAGAGGGCTAACTTTCGGCTGTCTGGCGACGCGAGGCTTATTTTTGTCTGGCGCGTTTCCGCGCTTTTTGTGTTGCACGTGCGGATCATCTTCGACGGGTGGCGTCTCCGGGGACTGTAAAAATTGGTGACCCTGACGGGTTTAGAGGTTGGCGTCCGTCAAGGTTCCGGAAGGGGGAAAAGGCTCGAGAACGAGGAGGAGATCAAGAGCGTCCCAATCGAGGCCTGCCCCGATTGCCAGGGAGGAAACGAAAGGAAGGACTGAAAGGCATCGGCCGTCAGGGCTCGGCGACTGAAGCTTGTCCCGGGACGGATGTCGGCGAGCGACCTGCTGACAAGCAGCCACAGTCAGACCTCACCAGCCCGTGCCTGCTGACAAGGAGCCACAGCCAGACCTCACCGGCCCGTGCCTGCTGACAAGCAGCCACAGCCAGACCTCACCAGCCCGTGCCTGCTGACAAGGAGCCACAGCCAGACCTACCAGCCCGTGCCTGCTGACAAGGAGCAACAGCCAGACCTCACCAGCCCGTGCCTGCTGACAAGGAGCAACAGCCAGACCTCACCAGCCCGTGCCGGGTGACAAGCAGCCACAGCCCGACCTCACCAGCCCGTGCCGTGTGACAAGAGGCCACGACACGAGAGAATGACGTGCAACCTGCCAGGTTCCAAGCGCCGGCCCAAGCGGGTGAGCGGACACCTTACGTCCCCAGTCGGACAATAAACGTCCTAATTTAAATCCGAGTCTCGTGGCATTTCTTCTCCTCTCTACCCCAAAAGGGACCCCAAGGGTGGTGTAACCGCTACCTCCGGTAGCGATCATCACATTGAGGAAGTTTTTATATTCAACAAGAAGGGCGCGTAATTTTGGAAAATTAAAGTGTCTGCTTTATAGGGCTTTACTGCACGAGATAGTGGGGTATCTTAGACGAATGATTCGGAATTTTTTTGTGTCACGAATAATTACTAACCCTAGAACGATTCCAATTAGCTGTGGTTTGTGAAGACGCCACCAGTTAAAATAGTTTTTCTCTCTTAGTTATGAGACATTGTACGCTGACTATCTTTTCTTCCCAAGTTTTTTCATGCTTATCTAAAAGTTTCTTCGTTTCCTATGTATACACACAGATTTGTACTGAAACAAATATATGAAATCAGATCGATGTCTAACAACTTTCTTTTATTGTGCATGCTTAGTTTATTCCTGGGTTTGAAATTAGAACTATACTTTGTCTCATCCTACGATGGACTTAAGGCCAAAGCCACAGTCCGCCAGGTCCGATCACGTTCCACGCTAAACTATGGCATGATCCCACACTGATCAGAGGTGGACAAATAATGTTCAGAATCAAAAAGCGCTGCATCATGTTTATAGCTTCGACAGTAAAAAGAACTTGAATGTCGTGGCTTTGTTTGCACTGTAAAAGTGATGAGTCACTTAGTCCTATTGTATTCGAACCACTCTCCGCCCGTCCCCACCAGTGATCTGAGACGCGGGCACCGATAGGCTCACCGAAGTGCAGTACCACGCAATTTCTTTGTGACACGTGATTGGACCTGGCGGCCCGTAGCTTTTGCATTTAGTCCATCGTAGAGTGAGACGAAGTATAACAGTTTTCAACGTACGAGACCCATCAAAGTAATAAAAAAATACAACTAGAGAGCAAAATAAAAAAAGTTATTTCTTCATTTATTTAATGGTATTTTTTTGTATTGATTCTACACATAAATAACCTATTAAGTTTCTTCGTTTTTCGTTAATCAGTTTGTAAGCACACAAAACGAAATATGTTTTTTTTTTAACCAAGTGTATTATTTCACATTACGCGAACATGTTCAATGCGCAGAAAGGCACCCAGACATTTGTGCTGCAAACTGCGAAGTACAATGTAACACATCATCATATTTAAAAAAAAAGAGTTCATTATAGTGGTAAGATCAAAATAATATTAAATCCCACAAACGCCGTATAACATTAAAAAAAAAATCTTGCTTTTATTTGTACAGCTGTTAGTCACACAAAACGCTTGACAGTAAGCGCAACATACGCGCGTTTTATTTTAAATGTATGTTAGGAGCACCTACATGGAAGCCTACTTCTATCGCATGAAACGATAACCAATTTTGTTCAGTTCTAATACTTTCTGCAATGTACATTCATAAATATAGTATATGTGAAGCGACTAAGGAGGGTTCCTGGGTGTAATATATCTCCATCGTTTCCCTTGAGCTGTAGCATTCAAGGCGAGGGAGAGCAAAGTCAAATGTGAACGACGATGTTCTATGCGTGAAACATGAAGCATAGATTAGCCACACTGCACTTTTTATCGACGGTAGCACCCTTGCAAATCATCCTTTTCGAGCTGAGTTAGTCGAACATAATATGAATTATTCTCCGCGGATAATAAGGACATGATCGCAACACAGCTGCTAAATGGCAGTTTAAAAACTGTTATTAAAGGACATTTAACTCTGAGCTAAGTATGGACGGGACACATTCCGTTGGCCAGCTCAAAAGGATGGTTTCCAAGGCCCCACGGAGACTCCGTCCATTGCGATGGGACACACAAAAACAACACACCATGGACTAGAAACAGTGAAAGACCCAAAGCGCTACATAAAGGCAAAAGGCAGACAAACAGTACATAAAACAAATAACGATGCTACAACTCACAACTGGATAGAAGTTGGCTTCTGTGCACGGCCGCGAAAATTCGTTTGCGATGAAAACAAGACGCGATAACGTACAGTTTATGATCAGGATGAACCTGCCGCACCTTTACAAGACTTCGTGAGTGTTCTATTCCCAAAGACCGAAATAAAAACAAAACAAGCCGTACTAGCGGCGCACGAAATATAAACAACCTGGAGGTTTACTGGCGAACTCCTCTATTCACCTCTCGTTCTCTAAGAACACAAAGCAACTCCTCGTCGATTGCTGCAGGCGCCAGACTGTACGGTTAATGATTTATGCCAGATGGACAACCGATTTAGACCCAATATTAAAATAACGTGACAGGAGCATGCTCGGCACAATATCGGTGTCCTTGTCCTGGATGCTGCGCACCTCCCAGTTCTTATCCAAAAACAGCGGACGAAACCGCACAGTGAAAGGCGAGGAAGAGCCGAGCCTCGGGTCTTCGCAGCCCTCGTGGCCATCTTGTGCTCGCGCGAGTGAGCAACACTTCATGGCGCATGTGGCGCCCGTATTTAACCCCTGAAGCCTCAGTAGTAGTTGTAGAAGTTTCTGCTGGCACCGATACGCTGCCCAAACTGGCCGTGGAACGAGGGCCCCTGGTAGGGGCTCGGAGCCGCGAGGACGACGGGCGTCGAAGCCCTAGCAAGGTAACGAGACCTGGCGGGCACACGGATCACCTTGCGCACTCGCTTGACGTACGGAGCTGGAACCCTGGCGATGGGTACCGTGGACGCCGCGGCCACAACGGGTTTGGCGACGGCGAGCCCACCGATGACACCGACGTAAGGCGAGTTGAAGACCGCACTGGCCGGGGCGCTGGCGGCTGTTCCGGGCTCATTGGTGTTCACGATGACGCGGAATCCGTGCTGGTCGGCCACGTACTCGACGCGTCGCTGGCGGCCGTCGATATCCGTGATGGTGTAGCCGCCCCGCTTGTTGCCGAACGCATCTCCCACTTCCCAGCGGCCGTTGGTGGCCCCCAGGGGATCCACGATATCGTAGCTGAACTGGTAGTTGCCGTAGTCCTGCGGACATTGCACTCGTACGTTGGAGAAATGAGCTCCAAGAGCGCGTAAAGTGAAGACGAAGCACGCTTGAGAGAAATGCGGCAGGTCCTATAATCTCAGCGAACGCCGTCTTATCGAAAGACGCTTTAGCAAACGACGATAAATTACATTGAGCAGACTAGCGGACGTACCGATGCGTATGATTGCCTAGCAAAATTAACTGAGTAGGTTGCAGTGGAAACTCGATCAATTCTTTCGCAGTTATTTTTTTTTTTCTCTTTGGGCCCTTCTACTACAGGCGACTAAAGTTACCCAGATAGTGTCTCAATTAATTGATGAAAGACGGAAATTATAATGTCTTCATTACAATTTGTTCATCTTTTGTTTAAGTTTCTTGATATAAGAAATGCGAGCTCCTCTCCTGGACGGAAGGCCGGGTTACCGGTAGGCGTTCTGCAGCCGGTAGTGATCAAGCAAGTAGCTTTAGTAAACTTGCAGCTCGTGCTTGCTTTAAAAAGTGGAAGCATGCATGGCAGCGTCTCGAAGGCTCAGCTCCTAGCTTTGTGTAGAAATTGAGGCATCTAAATAAATTTATGCCTTCTTTTCGACAACTTACACTGCCTGAAACGCAGCTATTAGCAACGCGTGCGCGACCCAAAGCACGTTCAATCGCAAGCTTGTCAAAGTCATCTTCACATGCATGCTGCGTGAGCGACTGCTGAGCGCGTGCTGTAATCGACCTTCCACGATTGTCCAAATGCCCACTATGACGTTTCGAGCATGATGAATTCTACTTTCACTCGTGAAAATAAGACGCATGTCGTACTCTCCATTTTGACGGTGTCGGTTTAAGGACGCGATGACTATGAGCTTTGCACTATGTTTTTTTTACACACGCAATCAAAATTGTCACCGACAAGTGATAATCCTGCTCGTGACGTCATAGATAGAAACCATAAGAAGAAGTCACCGAAACATCTCGTCGTCAATTAGCGATGTGCGCGACCAAAAGCGTCGCTGCGGTCAGCTTTCCACTAGAGTGCCTTCATACACACGCGCGCTTTTGCTTGAGTGGTGACATCTCGGCCATTTTTCCGCCCAATCGTTCTTTCTATGCATTTTGAAGTGCGCGCAATCCGGTGTCACTCAGCACGAGCGCGTAGCTTTAGCTAATGCATAGACGCCATTTTACCGCCCAAGTCACGCACCAAGAGCGCGAGAGCGTCACGCGCTGGCACATTCAGGGCAACAATGGATGTCTTCACCCTGAGACAGACAGACATGTAGGCACCCTACTTTCCACTAAAGCCCCTCTATCCTGGGAAAACTGGCGCCATTCATTGTTGTAGAAATGCTCGAGGCACGTGCCGCGCGCCACTTCTGGGAAATTCATGGCGACTGAAATCCAGCTCAGTGCTGCGCTGTGCCGCCATGGTCTTCCCAAGGGCTGCACGTTGCACGTGCCTCGTGCATCGACGAACATTGCGCTACTTTTGAAACATGAAGGGGCTTTACTTTCAACGATTGGCAAAACCATGGGCATATGATGGCCAGATTGTCAACTTTGACGGTGTTTGTTTCGGATTGCGATGGCTCCTAGCTTCCAGTGTGCTTTTTAGACAGACTCCACCCTAAAAAATGCCTGCGCGTCTACTTGCCCGCAAAACACTCTACGAGCTAATCTCTGCAATCTACGAAATCAGCTCAGAAAATGATGCGATGGAACATCTCTTTAGACCTCAAATTTAGGTCTGCGCTGTGGCATTACGCAATGCAAGTATGACGCTTCGCATTGCGCAATGAAACAACGCAGACTTCATTTTTAGGTCTGAACAGATGTTCCGCCTCATCATTTGCTCAGCTGATTTCGTAGATCGCAGAGATTGGCTCTTTGAGCGTTTTGCGTGCCAGTAGACGCGCAGGCATTTTTCTGAGTGCACCGAACTCGTCGTCGCACCTGATGGTAAGTAGCCAGGATAACAACTGGTGACGTCACGGCGAGGCAAATCCCAGTCGTGACGTCACGGATGGAAACCATAAGAGGGCGCCACCGAAACATCTCGGCGCTAATAGGGAGTATTCACTGGACGCCATACTTGTTGCTGCTGTTTAGAACCCATGCTCAGAACGAGCTCAATTTAATAGGTTGCTAAGACCGGCGATCTTGATGGTGTGGAATGCACGTTGCGAAAGAAGAGGCCTTCTAATCGTCGTCTTTGATTTCTAGGATCAAAAGCGAACAATAAAATTCGGTTTGTTGTCCCCACAGATAAAACGTACCGCTAGAGGCGGAACTGTTCGGTCTCCTCCCCAATACCGTTTACTTCAGTCCCCCACCCCCTTAAAAAAAATAATATCAGTGGATGCCCCGCGTGTGCAAGCACACGAGCAGAATTCAGGTTAAGATAACTTCGACAGGCTTGCGACTGAACGTACTCGCTCACATAAGCAGACATAGAAAGGATGCCCTGTTTCCGGACGGCAGCCAACGCCATGATCAAATGCACCTAACTAAGCAGCAAAAAAAAAAAAAAAAAACGCATTATCAGGGCGCTTATTGCCTTTGTGAGTTTGCTATTACCGACTAAAAACCATGTATCTTTAGGCAGCCGGAAGATGTCCGCCTCAACGGGCGACTTGTCTCTCAGCTGTATATGAAAAATCTAGCCAGTGCAGTATCACCGCTAGCCCGGGTAGTCTTTAAAAGGATGCTGAAGCGAAATCTGGATTCCACGAAAAACGCCGGCAAAAGCGTGCAACGGGATGCTACAAACACCAAAACATCACTCATACAGCGATATCTCGAACGGATGACCGTATTTTTTTTAAAAAAGAGGCGCATTTGACAGGTATGTTCACGTTGTGTTTCTCCGAGAAGGAGAGGGAACGGCCTCGCGTCTTCTCCGCCTCGCCGCCTTGAGGGGGCGAAGCGAAGAGAGGAGGAAACGAGATATCTTCACGTCAAGCGCCTCATCGGTCTTGTTCAATCTCGACCTCTTTTTCCAGAAATACGGCCGTCAATTCGAGATATCGCCTTGCGAGTAATGTTGTGGGGATTGTAGCGTCCCGCCTACATCTTCTGCATGGTTTTTCTGAAATCCAAATTTCGGTTCACCATCCCCTTAAAGGGGCGGTGCAACGATTTTCAGACTTTGGACAATTAACTGCTGAAATTAATCTGCGTCACCTATGAAACGAAAAACAGAAAACCGTATTTTCTTGCGATCGCTAGATCTTATTAAAAAAAATTAAACAAATCAAAGGTCAAAGTGCCTCTCAACTCTCCACGTCGACTTTCGAGTGACGTACTCTGGGAGTTTACGTGCTTTCCCCTTGGGTCCCATCTTCAGAGTCCCCAGCCGCTTCCTCCGCGATTGTCGACTTTTAAAGGATTAGCATCGTCGAAGGTCGCGGCGAGCGATCGCGAACCCCTGGGTTCTGGAGCGCGAACTTCCGATCTACGGTGCTCCGAGCTGCGGTGCGCTAACAGACTCAACCCCCCCCCCCCCCCCCCCCCCCCCAAACTCCCCCCAAACTAGAGTGCCTTCATACACACACGCGCGTTTGCTTGAGTGGCGACATCTCAGTCATAGTATTTACGATCAATCGTTTTAATGTGAAATCATTAACTGTCCCATGGAGCGAAGCTGGCGTTGTCTGTAACCGTTGTCTGTCACCGTCTATAGCAGAAAAATGGCACCTAAATTCTCATTCCCAAAAAAACACAAAGAAAAGCACGGCAGCGCAATGCTTCGTCACGGAAGCCGTCGTGAAGCCGGCAGGGTTCGCCGCGCCTGCGCAGTGGGGGAGCGTGATGTCATCATTGGAGCGCCATGTGCGAAAGGAAGACGTGGCGCGCTGCTTGTAGGAATGCGCTGCGTGTAGAAAGCTTTCGCATTCCTACATGTAAGCAATCTTAAATGTCTCTGCCGAATTTTTTTTTTTTTTTTTTTTGTCTTTTGAAGTGCGTGCAATCCGGTGTGACTCAGCTCGAGCAAGTAGCCTTGGCTAATGCTTAGACGCCATTTTACCGCACAAGTCAAGCACTGATTGCGCGAGCACGTCACGCACTGGCCCACTCACTTCAATTAATGTATGTCTTCACCCTGAGACAAACAGGCACCCTACCTCAAACCAATCACGCATAGCAAATCCACCGCGATACTGCGTTTTTTTTTTTTTTCTGTGCCTGATTGGTTTAGCCGAAGATAGCAGACCCACAAGGACATGAACGCTGTGACGATACACTTCTTGCTCTGCTTGACTGGTGCACCGAATCGTATCACTCTGAGAAATGCCTGCGCGTCTACTTACCCGCAAAACACTCAAAGAGTCAATCTCTGCGATCCACGAAATCAGCTCAGCGAATGATGAGGCGGAACATCCGTTTAGACCTAAAAAATGAAGTCTGCGCTGAGGCATTACGCAACGCAAAGCGTCATGCTTGCATTGCGTAATGCCACAGTGCAGACTTAATTTTGAGGTCTAAATCGATGTTCCGCCTCAGCATTCGCTTTCGTAGATCGCAGAGATTGGCTCTTTGAGTGTTTTGTGGGTAAGTAGACGCGCAGGCATTTCTTAAAGTGTAATGTCAGCTTCGTTTTTTTTTTTTTTTTTTTTTTTTTTTTTTTACATAGCAAAGCTTGTTTGACGTGAGACGAAAAAAAGTTAATGAAGGCCTGTCTGCCCGGCAAACAACTTTCCGCCGTGTAGAGCGTGTGCCGCGACCAGAAATTATAAATGCATACTCACGTCTTGTGCTCTGTGCTGTGTGCTTTCTCCCCCTTGCAATGCCACGCCCGCGCTCGCAAGGGCCAGCGCCACCGAGATCACGAGCAACTAAAAGAGAACGGCATTTGCTCTTAAGCATCGATTACGCATCAAGAGTGACAATCAGAGGGCGTATTTTGATTGTGTACGGATATGATAGACATTGGGAACGAGGGAGTGGCCGAGCACGATGTATCTAGAACAAAACAAACACTAACTGCGCGTGCTCAGAAACATTCCAATAACATACTGGCACGCGAGAATTGCGCGTCGACATTCGTAAGTAAAAGTAAACAAGGCATGACGGTGTTTGCGCGCCGTGAGTGGTCAAGCGGGAAGTAAATTGTGAAAGAAAGCTTTCTTCGCTCGGGTACACGCTCAGGATATACCGTGGGCTCCTCGATTAATCGTCTCGCGCTTTATTTACCTGGACGGCCATTCGAAGTCACGTTTTCTACGATTATATCCCGCCGCAAAAATCACCTCGTAAAAAAAAAAAGAAGAAAGAAAAAAAAGAGCGGCGAAGGGCGGCAAGGAGAGGGGCCGATCACACAAACTTTTAGGAAGTTTTTTTTTTACTGTTCGTATCTTTCAAAATGTACGTTTACTGCTAATTCAAGCGTTCGCAGATCAACAGCTCAGTCAGATGGCATCGTTTTTTGCTTCATCAATTTCTTATCGTAATTGCGAAGTAACATGCACTGATCAGCCAAAACGTTATGATCCCCTACCCAATACCGTGTTAATTTACATTTGGCACGCAGCATAGTTGCAAGGGTGATCGGCTGCAGAATTCCATATCCAACAGAATCCGACTAACTGTGTGCTCAGAAATGCTGGTGCCTTGACCTGCATCCTATCTATACTCTGTTTCACCCTGTGTCGTACCGCAGGAAAGGCTACAAGCGCGAGCTCCTTGCTCTAGGGCACATCTCGGCGGCACAAGCTCTCGTGCACCAAGGGCAGCTGCCAACGCTATGAGCTCGCGCTTCTAGCCTTCGCTGCGGTTCAACATAAGGGGAAACGGAGTGTAGCTGTCAGTTGAGCCACAGGTAGCCGCCTATTTTGCTTCATCAAACTAGAGCGTAGTAGAAGGACCGAGTGGGGCGACCGGAGTGCCATTTAGGTACCTCCGCATGTGGAAAAAACCGGCTAATCCAAGCCACTTCGCTCGTAGCGCCCTCTCGGGCACTACGAGCGAAGCGGTTCGGGTTAGCCGGGTTTTATGAAAAACACGTTATGTTCCAACGCCAAGATCGACCGACCCACAAGTCGCGGTCATGGAAACAATAGAAAAAAAAAACCGCTTCGGTCGTCTCACTCAGTACTTTCTAGTACACTCTACGGAGGTGGCGCTGCGATCGAAGTGGTTTGGGTCCACCTGATCGCTTTCCACATTTTGAGGTGCATCTGAAAGCATGAGCGGAGCCTGTAGCTCGTCCCACTCGTTCCTTCTAGTACACTCTAACCAAGCGGTAAAGCATCCGACGCACACATTCTGTGATGATGCGTGGACGTGCAACGCCTCGGCGTCTACTAACAGTTTCATCGTCACTCTGGGGCGGATTTATGGGTCAGGCCTGCGAAGGGGGGGGGGGGGGGGGGGGAGGGGGAGGGGGAGGGGGAGGAGGGGGTCTTTTAAAATATGACGTTACGGTCGAAACGTTGCCCAGGTATATTTTGCTGACTCAATATTTGCTATGTCACCAAAGACTAAACTTTTCGCTGGTGTATATCAGAGATTTTATCAAAACATAGTTGACCTTAGGGAGCTTGGGGGGGGGGGGGGGGGGGGGGGGCCAAAATCTGCCCCTGTCGTCACTCTTCCACTTTTGAAAGGTGCTAACGACGGCAGCTCGCGAACAACCGGCGAGCTTTTCAGCTTCCGAGATACTTGTTCCTACACTCTAAGAAATGCCTGCGCGTCTGCCTACCCGCAAAACACTCAAAGAGCAAGCCTTTACGATCAAGGAAATCAGCTCAGCGTATGGTGAGGTGGAACATCCGTCTAGACCTAAAAATGAAGTCTGCCCTTAGGCATTACGCAATGCAAAGCGTCATGCTTGCATTGCATAATGCAACAGCTGATTTTGTAGATCGCAGAGATTGGCTCCTCGAGTGTTTTGCGGGTAAGTAGACACGCAGTCTTAGAGTGTACACGTAAACAGAAGTCAGCAGCCCATGGCGGCCCCGCGAAGACCACCATCGCGAAGACCGCTACTAGGCCTGACGCTCTTCTTCATCGTCTTCATCATCCCATCATCATCGTCGTTCACACGATCAATCTCACCCAGCGTTCGGCGCATGCGTGACGCCGCCATAACTTTAGTTCACAGGGGACAGGCGTCAACGCACGACACGGCTCGTGCCATCTCATGATCTGCACGTGCAAAGCCCCAGCGAGGTCGTTGCACGTGCAAAAAGACTAAAGTTCCCTGCATGCATCGCGGCAGCGGTGGCGTAGCCAAACTGGCTGGTGAGATCGGTCTACTTCATCGTCATTAGAAGCGGCGCCGCAGGCCTTCAAGGTACGGGCGATTCTTCTTTCTGTGGCGCCGCGGCTCTCCTGAGCTAAAATAAATATATCATATCATATCATATCATATCATATCATATCATATCATACGATGCTCATCCAGATCAAAACGGGCAGGGGTGAGGATTGAGCCCAGGATCCGTGGGTTCTGCAGCTCGAGCTTTCGCTCCACCTGCTCCGAGATGGTGTGCGCTAGCCCGATCGGCCACCGATCCCCCACTCGCTTTGTTGAAGAATTTTTTTTCAAATCAGCGACCTCGTGCTCTCGTGCTTGTAGCATTGGCTGCAGTCTCAGCTTAAAGGGGCGATGCAACGATTTTTGTACTTTGCGCCAATACCGCTTAGAACGGATCCCTGACGTTAATGACCTGTGAAATACCGGTTCGTTTTTCACCACACCCAGTCGAAGTTGCAGAAAAAAAATAAAGAAAAATGAGCAGAATTCACCCCCTCAACTCGCAGCCAGAACAAGCGGCCACGTGATCTGGAGCCGATTTTATGCCGCCAATGTTGATCATAGTCATGCGCTGGGCTTGGCAAGGCACAGGACACGCGCTGAGTTCCAGATATTGTTATGGTTCGGCTGTTGTCGTCATTGCAGCGATTGGACACAGGAAACTACCATAATGCTTCTCGAGCTATTGCTTATCACGAGCCCAAATCGAGTGTCCACGCCATGCTCGGGTCGAATCTTTGAGCCGCATTCAAATACTCACTGGGAGGTACTGCTACCGCCCAGCTACCTCATCAGGTTTTGCGAAGGAGAGATTGAATGAAAACACTCGGTTTTGACCTCGAAATTACAGCGCAACAAAGGAGTTTCTTGGTCAGTGGCGTTGCGTGCGAGTATCCTTGAGTCCCACTAGTGCCAGTAAGCTCGTGTAAAGGGAAAAACGTTCCTATCTTGCATATGTGGCTGAGTGAAGTGAGTAAAGTTGACATCTCGAACGCAACGTGCAAGGAAAGGGAACAAGCTCTCGCAGCATTCAATTGTCATAAAACAAAGGCCGCGTCAAAATAATCTAAAATGTCGAACTTCGCGTGCCGAACCAGTGAAAGGCCACGTCAACTTCATATATATATATGAAGTTGACGTATATATATATATATATATATATATACGAGGGAGCGATTCGCACAGTGGTATGGAACCTCCACACGATACAGTTTAAAGAGCCAGGAAGAGGGAGAAATGAGGGGGGAGGGGGTTACGGAGGCGCACCGAGAAATTTTAATTTTTCTCATCTCCCTCACGTGTTTGCGCTCACTTCCGAATTGCGCTTGGCACGAAATGCTCGCATTTCGTAATCGCGAGCAGCAACACGGCGCATTCCAGTTAACAACGGGGGTCTCTACTTCCCCGTTTCTCCACTTCAAGCTTCGTTTCATTCGTAACGCGGGCGACGCGTACTATATTCTTCGGTTGGAGCGCTTGCTTGTCGCGTGCCCCGCATCCCACGCCCTCCCGGACAGGCGCCGAAGGGAATAGGCCTGTGAGAACCGCCGTCACCGACTGGTGGACGTTTTGTCGAAACCCAAAAGTGAGAAGGCCAGTGCAACTTCGTTCATAGCTAGAGCAAGCCGAAGTGCAGTCGCGTGAAAGATCGGGCATCACTGTGAAAGTAAAGTCACGAGCAAATCAAGAGTGTAAGGAGTGCGACACAGCTAGAATCAAAGAGCGTACCTTACTATATGTTCACGCTTGCTGTTTCCTGATTGGTTATGAGGCATTCTTATCGGCTAATGTCGCGCTCTGATTGGCTGAGGAGCGATACTGAGATGTTCGGCACTCGCCATACCCAGCGCCTTTCAGCTGAGAGTGGTGCCGAGACAGTGGTGCAACTCTCCCACGAAACATATGAAGAAGAATGAACCGAACTATATCAACCAACCATGTAAGCAAAAAAAAAAAAAAAAATCGTGTAGTTTTATTTGCGTAAATAGATTACAGTTAATAAAGACGGTAAATATTTTATTTGAAAAATTCCAAAATAATCAGACAAGCCAAAACGAACGAGCGTATCTCTGAATATGCTTGCTTTTGGACTCGAATATGACGCCTTAAATAGAATTGTACCCCCAGATTTCAACTTTAGAAAACAAGCTTTGGTGTTTTTACACAAATTTTCGCCGCGTGGCATGCGAACCAAAACTGCATCCAGGTACAAGATGTAGGACGCTTTATCTTTAAGGTGCGCGCAAATTTCACGTGCTTTATTTTATGCCATCAAATAGACCGATCCCACCAAGCGTTCCACGCATGCGTGACGCCGCCATAACTGTAGTTCGTAAGAGGCGGACGCCAGTTCACGAGGAAGCTCATGCCGCCTCGTGCTCTGCTCGCGCAGACCTCCAGCCTGGTTGTCGCGCGTGCAGAAAGACTACAGCTCCCACGGTGCATGTCGGCAGCGGTGGCGTACTTAAACTAGTTGTGAGATCGGTCTATTCGTCGACGTGTGAATCTGAGAGACGTAGCAGTACATATATATTGAGAGTATAAGTCAGATTAAGGGCACACTAACGACACTTGCCA